TACCGAATATATCTTTTAACCCTTTTGAATCTGGTGCTTAGTTATAATGTAATTAATAATATATTTTGACTGGTATATAAATTCCACGAGATACTGTTCTTCTGAAAAAAAAATATCTAAAAATCTAAATTTTTTTAGCCCAGCGCTAAACTAGCGTTAGCCCAGCGCTAAACTAGCGTTAGTCCAGCGCTAAAAACAGCGCTAAACTAGCGTTAGCCCAGCGCTAAACTAGCGTTAGTCCAGCGCTAAAAACAGCGCTAAACTAGCGTTAGCCCAGCGCTAAACTAGCGTTAGCCCAGCGCTAAAAACAGCGCTAAACTAGCGTTAGCCTAGCGCTAAACTAGCGTTAGCCCAGCGCTAAACTAGCGTTAGCCCAGCGCTAAAAACAGCGCTAAACTAGCGTTAGCCCAGCGCTAAAAACAGCGCTAAACTAGCGTTAGCCTAGCGCTAAACTAGCGTTAGCCCAGCGCTAAAAACAGCGCTAAACTAGCGTTAGCCCAGCGCTAAAAACAGCGCTAAACTAGCGTTAGCCCAGCTCTAAACTAGCGTTAGCCCAGCGCTAAACTAGCGGTAACCCAGCGCTAAACTAGTGTTAGCCCAGCGCTAAACTAGTGTTAGCCCAATAAACACATTTACGGAGTAACAATGTAAACAGAGTGATACAGTAGCCAATTTTAGGCTTGGATTACAAATACTTTCTGCCAGTTTGGTATACACACAGATAATCAAGCTAAATGCAGAGCATGTGGCCAGCCTTTTGGTCACTTTCTAGATCCCTTTGTGCTTAATTGTCCACTTACTGATTTACAGATAAAACATTAATCTATAGGATAACTTAAGGTATCTTAGTGAATATAAGATACCAGATATCCTTAACAGATACTTAAAATTTCTTAGGTAATCAAATTCATTTGAAAGTACAGAGGCGAGTCGTCTTGGGATTTATTTCCTCGGTCTTTGGTGTATCCACATTGTCTTGAACTGTAATCATTGGCAGGATCGGGAGTGCACAAGATGGATCTGGGGTGCACAAGATGGATCTGGGGTGCACAAGATGGATCTGGGGTGCACAAGATGGATCTGGGGTGCACAAGATGGATCTGGGGTGCACAAGATGGATCTGGGGTGCACAAGATGGATCTGGGGTGCACAAGATGGATGTGGGTGCACAAAGGTGCACTATCAGCCGTTTCAGGGGCAAAAAATAAAGTAATGAGAATATTTATGTTATTAACACAAATATTCCATTAGAGTCGAATAATTAGTCAATAAGGATGTTCCTAAATGTCTCTGTGTTACTATATTTCTAAAGAAATATTCCTATAGAAATGATATATTAAGTTAGATTGTTTAGGAAGAATAAATATAAATATTCAGAAACTAACAATTATTGTTAAATTTCTAATTTATATTTACAGAAACATTTACAATGGGTCCCTTTATATATATATTATATATATATTATATATAATATTATATATATTATATATATATATATATATATATATAATATATATATATTAATTTGCATGTATGTGTTTATATGTCGTGCCGAGTAAGTAAAATTTGTGATTTTGGCTTAAATAGCATCGCTCTTCTTGCCGAATAAGACAAGCGAATATTTGCGTATGCAATAATTCTGCAAAAATCATTCTGAACCTAACGAAAAATTTATATTTACAGTATTTATTATTAAATTATTGTAAAGTTATCTATAATATACTTGGATTAGGCTAAATTAAATTGCGCCTCTTATAATAAGGTTAGGCAAATTTTCGACGATTTTTAATTTTAACGTTAACATAAATGAAAAAAATATATATATCGTTAAACGTATAAGAGAAAATTTTAGAAAAAAAACTTAATTATAAATGAGTTCTTGCTAATTGACCAGTTTTACCTATTCTGCACGACATATATACATACATTTATATATATATATATATATATATATATATATATATATATATATATATATATATATATATATATATATATATATATATATATCACCCGGACTCTTATAATCCATACGGGTTTAGTTCTCCCGCAGTAAGCTACTACGTATTGTTAATGCAGGAAAAACTTAGCGGTTTAACTTTAAGGTTTGAAAAAAAGGCAGATTCAAACTGAGCGGACGGAGTATCGAGTCGCCTGAAATTCAATTTGCCGAACGAGCCACACCGGTGTTAAATTAGACCATTCATCTACGAGCCACACCGGGTTTAGCGCCTCTCGTAAATGACCAGCAGAAGAGCTGGTTCAGTTATCATGATCCCCAGTCCTGGTAACATTACACGCTGAAATTAATCGGTAATATGAGGAATAATTCAGTTATTTCAGCGAGACTTCATTCACTAACTGAAATAATTGGGAACTCTGTGATAAACATGTACTCTGTACTATGTTTTTTGTACTCTTTGTAATTATTCCAATATCCCAAAATGTATTGCATTTCTACATACCATTGTATGTAGCAATCGTCTATTGACAACGTTTCGCCCACACAGTGGGCGTCATGTTTAGAGCTTTTATATAATGTGAATTGGTAAAGCCCACTGTGTGGGCGAAACGTTGTCAATAAAGGAACACATTACACTACATGTGTGTCTGTTTTCCCACCATACAGCACTGAGTTAAATATTTATGAATATTTTGGTAACTAACTGTAATTCAGGAATGTCATTAATTTCATGTTTATCTTTGTGAGTGTAATTATTGCCTAGGTTTTAATTTGTATAGTTTTGATTTTTATGATGTGAATTGTTTAGGGAATACCAGTGTGTGTATGTTTAACAGGTGTTATAGTGGGTTTCCTTAACAGGTGTTATAGTGGGTTTCCTTAACAGGTGTTATAGTGGGTTTCCTTAACAGGTGTTATAGTGGGTTTGCTTAACAGGTGTTATAGTGGGTTTCCTTAACAGGTGTTATAGTGGGTTTCCTTAACAGGTGTTATAGTGGGTTTCCTTAACAGGTGTTATAGTGGGTTTCCTTAACAGGTGTTATAGTGGGTTTCCTTAACAGGTGTTATAGTGGGTTTCCTTAACAGGTGTTATAGTGGGTTTCCTTAACAGGTGTTATAGTGGGTTTCCTTAACAGGTGTTATAGTGGGTTTCCTTAACAGGTGTTATAGTGGGTTTCCTTAACAGGTGTTATAGTGGGTTTCCTGAACAGGTGTTATAGTGGGTTTCCTGAACAGGTGTTATAGTGGGTTTCCTTAACAGGTGTTATAGTGGGTTTCCTTAACAGGTGTTATAGTGGGTTTCCTTAACAGGTGTTATAGTGGGTTTCCTTAACAGGTGTTATAGTGGGTTTCCTTAACAGGTGTTATAGTAGATTTGCTTAACAAGTGTTATAGTGGATCTAGAAGATACTACAGCGGGTGTTTAGAAAAAATTAGTGTATTATAGAATATGCTAGTGTATTAACTGAAGTGTGTTTAGGAGAAACTAAATTGTTTTGAAGTTAAAATGTGTTTAGTGAATAACAAAGTTATATTTATTATGAGAAGGGCAGTGGCTCCTGCCCTCTGAAGGAGGAGGATGTGGGGATGCTACGGTCGGGGAGGAATCTGAATTGTGATGCCTGCGCATTTCTGGAAAGAGAACGATTGAACGAAAGTATTTTCTTCGGGTCACCCCCTTCCCTTCTGTTTCGGTGACAAAAAAAAATATTCTTTGTATTTAGATAATTTCTCCATGGAACATAATTCTTACTCCGTAAGAAATGTGTGTCGTAAGAGGCGACTAAAATACCAGGAGCAAGGGGATGTTAACCTCTTCTGTATAAATTACTACATTTAAAAACAAAAACTTTTGATTTTCATTTTAGGTCACCCTTCCTCGGTAGAATACGGCCAGTTTGTTGTAAAAAATATAGGTAATTATTATGGAGGTGAGTGAATCTGTAGCATACAGAGTAATGGTTCACTCACGCCCAGTGGACCATTACTTCGTCTTCACGGAGGCAAATACAAGCCTCGGGAATTCGGAAAAAAATATTCTGGAAACGAGAACTTAAGAACTAGTAAGAAAATTACAAATTAAAGCCAAGTTTGCACTTAATGTGTCTGTGAGACAGGAAAAAAACAACCAGGAATCCTAGGAAAGTGCAAAAATATTGAGCAAGTTTCCATTTCACACTTGCGTGAGGGGATGGCAGTATCTTCCTGGTTGGCGGATGGTGTTTTGTTTCTCCAGAGAACCAATATTTTTTTTCCCTTGTTCCGGTGTTAGTCATATAATGAAGTCGTTCAGTGGAGCTTTGGTCGGCTGACTGAGGCCTTCAGGCGGCTTATTCATCAGAGCCCAAATATCAGTGTATAATGTTGGCAGCGTAATGAAAACTGAGACTCGGGTGGAGACAGAATAAAGACCAGAGACTGTGTATCTGTACCTCTTACAGAAGACCTCTGAAGAGGGACTCTTTTAGAAGCAGAAATATACAGCTTCCTCTTTATCGATAATTTCGTCTCTAAGTGGATGAATAATGGCGGAAGTCGACAGGTAGTGAGAATGACACTGTCACTAAAATTTAAATTTAAATGATTCGTGGTAAGCGCTAAACCCATGTGGGACAATCAGCGCAAGACGTAGTGGAGGCTTGGTCCTCCGTCTGCTGAGTGCCAGACAGACGCACTTCCAGTTTGTACATTATTTTGTATCGTTTTACTGGGATGTTGAATTGAGAAATGATCCCCCAGACGCCTGTGACCACAGGTAAGGGTACAACCATTCAACTAGATCGATTGTCTACACCCACTTCAAGACGTGATAAACACACTGTGCAGTGAAAAACTTAACTGACTCAGCTTCACCCTGGGCTGGACTTCGTTAAGTCCAGCCCTGGGCGAAACGATGTTAAAGTCCAGGATTTTACTTGAAGGAAGTCCAGTCCTGGGGAAAATGTCGCCATGAAGGTTTTCACTGCTAACATAGTGTGTCTCTCTCACGCCTTGCAGTGGGTGTATTCATACACCATGGGACATGTGAACTACTGACCTGGGTCACTGTGTTGCGGGTCACACTGTGAAGAGATTGAGACCCCACCTTCACCCTCTGTGGAGTGGGTGCTTGCCCTGTCGTCCACCACCACATCATCCTCCCCTTCCTCCCCTTCCCTTAACTCATCCTCCTCTACTTCATCCTCCAGCTCGTCGTCCTCTGCTGGGGTGTCGCCCTCCGCCTTTGTGGCCCTGGGTGGCCCCGAGGTGGCCCTCAGTCTGGCCAGGAAGATCGGAGTGGGCATTTGCGGCGGCTGGTGCGGCTCCTGAGCCACTCTGGTCTTGGGGCCTCCGAGGGGAAGTACCTGAGGCTCGTTGAGAGCCACGGTGTCAGGTCTGACGGGTCTTAGACCTGCAGGGATAAGGGGAGGCAGTGGAGGGGGTTGAGGGGTTAGGGCTTGCGAGCGAGACTTGGACTCTGGACGACTAGAGGACAGTAGTGACTCGATAGAGAAAGAATCGCTGGGGACGGTGAGGCGAGGCAGCGGCGGCGATGTCATCGTAGTCTTCAGAGGAGAGAATTTTGACGGCTGGTGCAGACAGTCCAACTTTCAACTTTCATTCGTTTCGAACGTTAATTTGAGACCTTTTAAACCATTTTACGCCCAACTGTGAATCCTTCTGAATTTTTAAACTCAAATTTCAGCCTCTCTAGATTTTTAAATTCAAATTTCAGACCATTTAGAGCTTTAAAGCTCAAATTTCAGATCCCTTATGACTTCAGACTCCAATTTTAGATTATTATTATTATTATTATTATTATTATTATTATTATTATTATTATTATTATTATTATTATTATTATTATTATTATTATTATCGTGTTAAGCTAAACTTGATTCTTCAGATTCTTTTGAAAGTATAAAGTGAAATTTCAGATCCTTCAGGACTTTTAAGATCGAATATCAGATCATTTTTCGGACTTTCAAACTCCAGTTTTAAATTCTGAAGAGACTTTAAGCCCAAATATTAGATCGTTTAGAACTTTTAAGAGCTGATGGAAGAACCTTCATGTATTTTCCCCGACAACATCAGTTAGAAATATTGCTAATTTAGCTAGATTACTCGCACTAGTGTACACTAAGATGAGTTAGCGGTAAGTTTACAGATCAGTGAGATTGATCAGTGAGACTGGGTAGTGAGATTGATCAGTGAGGCTGGGCAGTGAGATTGATCAGTGAGACTGGGCAGTGAGATTGATCAGTGAGACTGGGTAGTGAGATTGATCAGTGAGACTGGGTAGTGAGATTGATCAGTGAGGCTGGGCAGTGAGACTGGGCAGTGAGATTGATCAGTGAGGCTGGGCAGTGAGATTGATCAGTGAGACTGGGCAGTGAGATTGATCAGTGAGACTGGGTAGTGAGATTGATCAGTGAGACTGGGTAGTGAGATTGATCAGTGAGGACTGGGCAGTGAGATTGATCAGTGAGACTGGGTAGTGAGATTGATCAGTGAGGCTGGGCAGTGAGATTGATCAGTGAGACTGGGTAGTGAGATTGATCAGTGAGGCTGGGCAGTGAGATTGATCAGTGAGACTGGGTAGTGAGATTGATCAGTGAGACTGGGTAGTGAGATTGATCAGTGAGGCTGGGCAGTGAGACTGATCAGTGAGGCTGGGCAGTGAGACTGGGCAGTGAGATTGATCAGTGAGGCTGGGCAGTGAGATTGATCAGTGAGACTGGGTAGTGAGATTGATCAGTGAGGCTGGGCAGTGAGATTGATCTGTGAGGCTGGGTTGTGAGATTGATCAGTGAGGCTGGGCAGTGAGATTGATCAGTGAGACTGGGCAGTGAGATTGATCAGTGAGACTGGGTAGTGAGAATAGTGAGACTGGGCAGTGAAATTGATCAGTGGGACTGGGCAGTGAGATTGATTAGTGAGACTGGGCAGTGAGAACAGTGAGACTGGGCAGTGAAATTGATCAGTGGGACTGGGCAGTGAGATTAATCAGAAAGTCAGGGTTTTTAACCACCAGGTGATTTTGAAAAGTCAGTTAACAGGTCACAATTTTAACAGGTGAATAGGTCATGTCAGGAGGTCCTCCCCCCATCATTATTCATGACCTCCGATTTAAATCTTTCAGCAAAGTTACACCTGAAACCAATCTCAACTTAGCAAATAACGCTTAAACACTTTACGAAAGGAGAATCAAAATGAATCCTTGAAAACCATCGGTAGTTTGGCTTTTGTATATACAAACAATACATTGATCTTTATCTCCTGGATTATCAATTAAATATATCAGAATGTTTTTAAAATATTAATCTGAGAGTAGATCCCCAGGCGCCTGTGACCAGAGGCGAGAGAACAAGCCCCCAGGCGCCTGTGACCAGAGGCGAGAGAACAAGCCCCCAGGCGCCTGTGACCAGAGGCGAGAGAACAACCTTTCAGCTAAGTTCAACGGCCAGACAGTGCTCTATAAACCTTGTGTGTTTATTGCTTAGCTTTGTGATAATATAATAATAATAATAATTAGCCTTTTTTTATTTTAGCTGCAATATTTTTTCCTGGTTTTGCCTAGACGCGTTTAAAGCAAAAATGCCACTTCACGTGAGATTAAACTTCATAGTTTATTCAGTGAGGCGCTGGTAAAGGACGTGATTTTGGTTAACGATGATTGGGCACTACTTAACGATGACGTGGCGACGATTAACGTAAAGGTAACACTAGTTGATGGACGGTAGTATCGCTGGTTGAACGCGGCACTATATTACGACGATTTGTCGCTGGTTAACGGAGGCGTGGCACTGCTTAACGGAGATTTGGCACTGGTTAACGGAGCAGTGACACCAGTGTGCTAGAGAGTGGCACTGCTGGATAGCGACGAAGCTACACTGATGAGCCACGATGCGACGCAACTGAAGTGGCACCCCGGGCCTGTGGGTCTAGTGCCTGGGCATCGCGCCCCGGGGAGGAGGATGAGGAGGAGAGGGGCAGAATGCCACATTCACCATTATTATTCATCCAATTATATTTCTCTAAATACGTGTCCGTTTCAGGAGCAGTTCAAAAGATGCTCTAGCAGGTGATGGAGGGGCATTTTGCTAGTTTCTTCTAACATATCGAGCTTAGAAAATGTTGGATAATCAGCAGGTGGGCTCTGGTGGCCCCGCCTAGGGGCACAGAAGCGAGTCACAACACGAGAAAAAGCACGTTGAGTGACACCAGCTGGAGGAGGTGGGCGGGGCCTATGCTTTGCTGGACACACCCACCTCGCACTTCTGGGGACAGACGGATGAACAAACGGGCGGACGAAAGGAAGGACACACAAACACACACACACACACACACACACACACACACACACACACACACAGGAGATTACTGCAAAAGCTAAAGGATCAGGCACATATAACAGGAAGAGCACTGCAGTGGATCAGAGAATATCTGACAGGGAGGCAACAACGAGTCATAGTACATGCGAGGTATCACAGTGGGCGCCTGTGACAAGCGGGGTTCCACAGGTGTCAGTCCTAGGACAGGTGCTATTTTTGGTACACGTGAATGACATGACGGAAGGGTTAGACTCAGGATTGTCCCTGTTTGTAGATGATGTGAAGTTAATGAGGAGAATTAATTCGAATGAGGATCAGGCAGGACTACAAAGAGACCTGAACAGGCTGGAAGCTTGGTTAAGCAACTGGCTCTTCGAATTTAACCCCGCCAAATGCAAAGTCATGAAGATCGGGGAAGGGCAAAGAAAACCGCAGAGTATAGGCTAGGTGGCCAAAGACTGCAAACCTCACTCAAGGAGTATAATATTGAGCACATCTCCTGATGCGCACATCAACCAGATAACTGTTGCAGCATATGGGCGCCTGGCAAACTTGAGAATAGCGTTCAGATACCTCAGTAAGGAATAATGTACGTCAGGCCCATACTGGAGTATGCAGCACCAGTTTGAAACCTACACCTGATCAAGTACGTCAAGAAATTAGAGAAATTGCTAAGGTTTGCATCAAGGCTAGTTCCAGAGCTAAGGGAAATATCCTACGAAGAAAGATTAAGGGAAACCAGCCTGACGACACTGGAGGACAGGAGGGTTAGGGAAGACATGATAACTACATACAAAATACTGCAAGGAATTGACAAGGTGGACAGAGACAGGATGTTCCAGAGGGGGGACATAGAAACATGGGATCACAATTAGAAGTTAAAGAATCAGATGAGCCAGAGAGATGTTAGGAAGCATTTCTTTAGTCAGAGTTGTCAGGAAGTGGAATAGTCTGACAAGTGACGTAGTGGAGGCAGGAACAATACATAGTTTTAAGAAGAGGTATAATAAATCTCATGGAGCAGGGAGTGAGTGTGGACCTAGTAGTGATCAGCGAAGAAGCAAGGCCAGGAGGTCTGGATCAACCCCTGCAACAACAAATAGGTAAGAACACGCACAGATCTGGTTACGAAATGTGTCCACATTATGATAATCAGTGGTACTGTCGCCTCCACTAACATACATCACTCCCTAACCACCTCGTTCAAGGGCAAGACAGACTCCCTCTAGTATTACATCCCTAAGCATTACCTTACCTTTCAAGGAGCTGCCTTAATGCTACTGAAGGGCTCTTGATTCAAGGAAATCAAGCAACCCTTCCCTTCCTGGGCATAAACCAGATTACTCCCCACATTTCCCTTTCCTCTGACACCTTAAGCCTCGAGTTTAATGCTTCTCAATAATAATAATAATAATAATAATAATTAGGTTGGTAGACAGCAACCACCCAGGGAGGTACTACCGTCCTGCCAAGTGAGTGTAAAACGGAAACCTGTAATTGTTTTACATGATAGTAGGGTTGCTGGTGTCCTTTTTTCTATCTCATACACGTGCAGGGTTTCAGATACAACTTGTTACTTCTACGTACACTTAGTCACACTATACATGTGCGAGCATATATATACACACACCCTTCTGGGTTTTCTTCTATTTTATTGCTAGTTCTTGTTCTTGTTTATTTCCTCTTATCTCCATGGGGAAGTGGAACAGAATTCTTCCTCCGTAAGCCTTGCGTGTCGTAAGAGGCGACTAAAATGCCGGGAGCAAGGTGCTAATAACCCCTTCTCCTGTATATATTGCTAAATTTAAAAGCCGAAACTTTCGTTTTTCCTTTTGGGTCACCCCGCCTAGGTGGGATACGGCCGGTGAATTGAAAAAAAAAATTATAATTGAAATGTTCTTGTAAAGATTCAACAGAACACAATATGGGGATGTACCAATTCCCTAGATCAAGAGCCCCTCACTACCATCAAGGGGAAGCTCCCTTGAGGGGAGATTTAGGGGTTGAGGTGTTGTTGACTGGTGGTGGAGAGGTTAAGGCCAGCCTTAATGACTCCCTAGTTTAGTCAATAGGCTTTAAACCCCCATTAACCAACAGTCTTTCACTCAAACGACTGAGTTCGACAGGTAAGACAGCAATGATGTTTTGGCCCCGTTACAAGACTAATGACTTCTACACAGGTATCTTTACTAGTAGACATCACCGTCTATAATGCTACTGTCTATAATGCTGTTAATAGACACTACCATCTATAATACTGTATTAGTAGACATCACCGCCTATAACACTACTGTCTATAACGCTGTTGGTAGACACCGCCGCCTATAACACTGTTCACAAGTGTTATAGACCAGATAGCCAGCACCACGGAACTGCTCATCAAATAACAATAGCTCCTGTCAGGTTATTTCCCCTGTCAAAATATAAAAAAAATCGCTTCTTACTCGCGTGATAG